TATATATATATATATATATATATATATATATATATATATATATATATGGGCCTGCTGGGAACAAGCCCTTAGCCCATGGACTTTTAGGAAAACATTTAAAGTGCAAACTGTCACACCACAAATACTACCAATCAGGTATGGTAGTTCTAGTACTTGGACAGCAGAGACTGGTGGATCTCTTATGAGTTCAAGCCTAGCATGGTCTATACAAAAAGAGTCCTCGGCTAGCCTGGAACCACATAGTGAGATCTATCTCAATAGTAACAATAATAAAGTCAGCATAAATTATCCTGCATCTCAATTTAAAAATAGAACATTCATGATGCACTAATTTCACATGAAATGATTTTGTTTTATTGTAATATTAAGAGAGTAGGCTTCTAAATATTTCCTTATAAAATTTCTGACTCTAAATAATTTTTATTTCCCCCTTAATATTGCTTCCTTCTGTCGTGGGTAGCTCAGCATCCCTCAGATGTCAAGTGCATACAAGACTGGCATGGTGTGTCATGGATGTGATGACATGAGTATCACTTTCTTCTATCAATGGTTCAGTACTCTTAAGAGCTGTATAAGCAGCTGACGTGATTTATACTGAACATGACTTCTTTGACATGTGGACAGGTTAATATCTCTTCTGCTTCCCTGATATAAATCCCACGTGTCTAAAATTGATAAATATTACAGATCCAGGGGCTAAAGAAATGACTTAGCAGCTAAGAGTACTGTTGCTCTTGTAGAGGATGTGGGTTTGGTTCTTAGCACCTACATGGTGGCTCACAACCATCCATAAATCCAGTCCAGAGGACCTAATGCCCTCATCTGGCCTATTTGGGCATGTGGTGCACAGACAGACAGAGAAAACATGCAAACAAATATATCTTTTAAAAATGTCATGATTCTAAATGCCTTCTCCCTGCCAGAACTGACAAGCTGATACTGAACATTATATGGAAATATAAAAACAAAATACCCAGAAGTAGATGAAATAATTTTGATAAATAAAGATTCATGCTTCCCAATTTCAAAGTAGCATGAAGTTATAGTAATGACTGACGAGTTCCTATGCTGTCACAGGAGAAATGTGATCAACCTAGTGCCTATATTTTGAGAGTCCAGAAAGAAATTTGTACACATGTCAGCTTATTTTGATATGTGTTCCAAGAGAGTTCACTGGTGTAAGAATGATCTTTTAAACAAATGATGCTATGATTGTTGTTAACTGCTTATGAGAAATTGGAGTTGAACCCTTGCTCATATGAATCACAAAATTACTATAAAAGCACACTAAAGACTTAAACGTCAGAACTACAACATAAAGAAATAATAAAGGTATAAATCTTTGTTGCTTAGCAACAAGCAATGGATTCTTAGGTGTGATACTTAAGGTGTACAACCAGTTCTGCACTTTATTTTATTATTGATTTTATTTATTTATTCAGAATGTTATTATGTTGCACTGGCTGACCTGGAATTCTGTGTAGACCTGGCTGCCCTCAATCTCACAGAAATCCAACGGACTCAGTCTCCTGAGTGCTAGGATTAAAGGCACTCACCACCATGCCCAGCCCTAATTTAGTTAGTTGATTACTTTGTTTGTGCCTGTATGAGTTGAACATACTCCACATACACCTGGATGCCTGTGGAGGAAAGAAGGCACACACACACAGAGGTCAGAGGACAACTTGTCCAGAGGATTGAACGCAGATCACCAGGTTTGGTAGGAAGTGCTTTTTTGCTCTGATACATCTTGAAGACTGTAAAAATCTCTTTTCTGTGGCAAATATATTTATTAGTTGAATGGAATAGGTGTTCTCTAATGAACATTTTAGCCATTTTTACATGTTAATAGTCCTTTAAACAAGAACAAAACTGTCAGCACTTTTCTCCAGTAATATCATCTGTCTTCTTAGCAAAAAAACTTAGACAGGAATGCAGTTATTTTTAATACAAAGTACAAGATAACTATGACCTTGCTCTTGATTTTAGTATTAGGAATCTCTACAGGATGCTTCTCATTCTTCTCAGCCTCAGCCCAATCAACCTGGGCTGCACATTTGAACACCAGGGGACTTTCAAAACTTTGTCTGCTTTCAAAAGTTCTTCATTAACTGTTCACAAAGGCCCAAGTCTCCGGCCTCAGCATAAATATTCTCTAGTAAGGATGAAAGGAAATGATATGTCTGTGATTTTCTATTTCTGCAGGAGTTGATAGGTAACCCTGTAGTTAATGAATAATGCAATTGGAATATGCACATATTCCTGAGAGTTATCAGCATTAACTTCAGTGGTGGAACTGGTTATGGCAGTGAGGATGGAGAAGATGATAGATGTGTTTACTCTTCACTTTATGGTATTCTTGAAGGGTGTAGAAGGAGGTACTGGATACTCCAGTAAGGGTATAATGACCCTCACTAAACCTGCATTTAAGAAAAAGTTTTATGTGTGAAAGCTATGTTGCTGCATGTATATATGTGTGTACCATATATGTGCGGTGCCCGCTGAGGCCAAAAAAGAGCATTGGATCCCTTGGAGCTGGAGTTAAAGTGATTGTAAGCTGCCAAGTGAGAGCTGAGAACCGAACCCAGGTCTTGTACAAAGAGCAGAAAATACCCTTACCAACCTAGCTATCACTTCAACTCTATAATACGTTTTTGTTGTTGTGTTTTTGTTGTTGTTGTTGTTTTTTAATGGTTATCTATTGGGTGGTATGTTGCACATCTGTAATCCTATCACTTGGGAGAAGGCAGAAAGATCAGTAGTTCAAGGCCAACCTTGGCTACATAGTTAGTCCAAGGTGAACGTAGGGTGCAGGAGACACTGTCTTAAGGCAACTAAATAACAGGGCCAGTGAGATTGTTCCGCTGGTAATAGCACTTGCCCCCAAGTATAAGGACCTGATTTCAATTCTGAGGATCCACACAGTGGAAGAAGAGGACTAATCCTGCAAGCTGTCCTCTGACCTCCACTCACGTGACATACACACAGATAAAGAAAAAAACAAACAAGTAATTTTTTTTTTTTTTTAGACAGTCCCATCATGTAGTTTTGGCTGTCATGAAAGTCACTGTGTAGACCACACTGCCCTCAAACTCACAGAGATCCGCCTGCCTGTCTCCCAAGTGCTGAGGTTAAAGGAGTGCACCACAATGCCCACTAATAACTTTTATTTAAAGAAAACCAAGTATCAACAACAAAGCTCCAGGTTCTCATAATTTGATTGTGGGGAGACCTTTCATTCTGGCCTCCGAATGCACGGGGACACACAGAGCATGCCCATGCGCCTACACCCTCAGTCCCCCACACAAGCTTTTAAAAATGAATAAAGTAATGTTAGCAAATTTATAGAAATCAGACACAATTCAACAGTAGACTAAACTGTAGCACACATACTTAGGTACAGCACATAAAATTAGATATCAGATTTGTACCAAAATATGTTTGCTAGTCAGTATAGTGGTGATCTGTAAATTTTGCTAACGGGATGCACAGGGGCCATGTGGAGAAGAGTCTCAGTGGGTCTAGATCAGGCTGGCCTGTGGACCTGGCTGCGGGCTCTTGCTGTCCTGCCCTCACTGACGTGAGGGTCCGCAGCCTGACGGTGGGCAGCACTGTTTCCTGGTTTGGGGTCCTGGACCGTACAGGAGGAGAGGGAGCTGAGTAGGAGGCAAACATGTATTACTTGCTTTCTGCTCTGAATGTGGATAAGATGTGGGTTGTTTTGAGATCATGTCATCTTGACTTCTGTACTAGAATTGTAGGCTAAGTTAAACCTTACTTCCCTAAGTTACCTTCTGTCAGGGTACGTCATCTTCATTATAGAAACAGAAATAAAGCGAATGCCTTCATTTTCCCTATCTTCTATCCTCCATCTCTCTGTTGAGACAGGGCCTTGCTATGTAGCTCCGCCTAGTGTGCATCTCACTGTCTAGGCTTAGCTGGCCATGAACTCAAACATCCGCCTTTCTCTGCCTCCCAGGTGTTGAGATTGAAGGCCTGCACCGTCACACTGTTCTTTAACCCAGGTTTCTTCTCATCTGTGGGGACAAACAGCCAGGCTTACGGTTTAAGGATAGAGGCGGGGGCATCATCACAGCCCCCTGCCATTCTGCTGAGCCTCGGCAGCAGCCTCCCTGAAGCACTCACCGGCCCACATGTGTGTGGTTGGCTGCTGTAGAGCTGCACGATGTCATCATTCTCCAGCCGCCTCAGGACTGCAGCAAACTCTCTGGATTAACCCGTCAGCACTTACAAAGTGTTCTGTGAGAATGTGCTTCGCTTTGATTAGAAAGTTAATTTTGTTTTTGTTTTTATTTTTCTAGGTGTATGGTGGCTGATGAAGTAAGTACCTTGATCCTTCTCTGAAAACCTTCAACCAGTGTTTACTGTCTTCTGTGTTTCTGTATTGACTTTGTTTTCTCATGTGATACCTGTCTATTTAGTGGGGGAAACTCAAACAACAATAAATTTACTATATGTTAGCCATTTCCTCTCAAACACTTCTCTATACACTACATATAATTGTGTGTGTATAAACTTAAAAAAAAAAACAGCATAAAAAGCTGTTCACATAAAAAGCAAAAACACTGTTTTCAGCCTTCACAAGAAAAACCCCTGGAGGAGTTCACAACCATAGTATGCTTTTGAACCTTGGCTATATTAGTAATTTTCCATTGTTGTGATAAAGTTTCATGACCACAGGCAACTTTGAGTAGACGGGGTTTATTTGGACTTACAGTTTCAAAAGGGTGGAGTACATTGTCCCCAGCAACACATAATAATAGGTAGGCCAACATGCCCAGCCCTAGTGTAATGAATTTAAAGAAGCCATTTAATAATTCTATAATAATTTTTTTAAAAAAAGAACATTTCCATTTTATTCCATCATAATTACCTTTCTTTTCGGTAGCTTTTTGAAAATTAACCTTTTTGTTGTGGTTTCATTGTGTGATATGCAGGAATATATGTAGGCATGTTCACATGTGTTTGGTGCATGTGTATGTATGTGTACATATGTTCACGTGGAGGCAGAGGTTGACATCAGGTATGTTCCTAGATTGCGCTCCACTTTAACCGATGCAGGGTTCCTTCCTGAGCCCGGAGCTTAGAGATTCGGCTCTATCAGCTAGTCAGCTTGCCTGGGGGATTCCTAATCTGCCTCCAGAATGCCAGGATTCCAGCAGGCTGCCCAGTATCTGCCCAGCTTGCATATGCTTTCTGTGGATCTGAACCTCAGTTCTTATACTACAAGCACTTTAGCCTCTGAGACATCTTCCCAGCTTTTTGAAGAGTAATTCTTTTCTATCTATTGGGCTTTACAGGATTTGTAATGTTAAATCCTAACTGATAATACTAAGAAAAAAAAAATCATTACTTTCACTGTGAGGGTTTTAAAAGAAAAAAAAAATGAAGCTTGTAGAAATGTCTATGTGTAAGGTCATACCTTAGAGTGACTAACACTCTCTGTGGTGGTGAGTAGATCGGCTTTTTAAAATATAATATTACTGTGGTTAAGAATTCTGAAGGAAGCTGGTGGTGGTACTTAATCTCTAATCCCAGCACTCGGGAGGCAGAGGCAGGTGGAGCTCCAGTTTGAGGCCAGCCTGGTCTACAGAGTGAGTGCTAGGACAGCCAGGGCAGCGCAGAGACTCTGTTTCAGGGGGAAAAGGAAAAGGAAAAGTTTCTGAAGTAAAATGAATACACATGTGTTTATTATATGAACTCTGGTCTGACCTTCATTCTGTATCCTACTTCTATTTTTCTGGTCGTCCTCAAGGTGACATGGAGGTTAAAAAAGAAAGGGCAGTGTATGGCTTGAAGGCCAGGTTTGTTTGTTTTTTTTTGTTTTTGTTTTTTTGTTTGTTTTGATAGATAGAGTGTCTTGGTAACAGGGACTGACTCATTAGTACCTGGAAGCCTTAGACATTTTGTCTGTGTGGCTGGACCTTCTTGAAGACGGGGGCTTGAACACCCATTTGGGATGTTGGCACTTGGCTGTCTGTGTGATCTTGCTTCTGTAGCTTTCGAAGCACATAACTGGCACCACTTCTCATCTCTTACTCTTTCCTGTTTTCTTATCCTAACACTCGAGTCTCTGCAGCACTGTATAATCCACTGACTACAAATTAATGGTGATTGAAGTTCAGCTTAACTATGCAGTTGTTTCAGTTACGTCAAAAACTATGTTTCAAATAAGCAACAAAGCCACAGTGTTTCATGATATAAACTATAAGCTCAGCTTAAACTGTTTAATTTTTTTCCCATCTCCTAGATCAATGTAATGGAGTGCTGGCTCAGGGACTGTGCATTGAGTATAAAGGAGCACATAGACACTTTTTAATGTCATAAATTTTCTTTCATTTGAGAATGTCATTCCTGTATGTATGCAATATATTATTGTATTCGCCTTTCCCATATACCCAGCCCCTTCTCCCACCAGAGCAAGCCGACAGTTGCAGACTTCTGTTGCGTAGATGACGTTTGGGTGTCAGTTGGCACTTGACATGGTGTATTGTTAGACGTTGTTTTGTAACAATGATTTTTGCAGCATTGTTTGAGAATTGTTCCTCCTTATTTGAGACTTATGGAATTGTTAAAAAATTTGTTCACATTCAAATGGTGGTGGTGGTACCTTTAATCCCAGCACTTGGGAGGCAGAGCTATGCAGAAATCTATGGTTTTGAGGCCAATCTGGTCTACAGAGTGAGTTCCAGGACAGCCAGGGCTACACAAAGGAACTCTGTCTCAGTATATATATATATTTCACAATACTGTGTTTTAAACATTAAAATTTTGTATCAAAACAAAGAACATAATTCAATTGATGGCACATAGTAAAAATATTAAATCTAATATATATCGTACCTTATTTTCTAGTAGTTAAAGGTTATTGTCCTTGCTCTAAGGTTATGATTTAGAGAATTGTAATAATACCTTTTATTTAAGAAGGCAGAACGGGCAGTCTGGATTTTTATGACTAGCCTATTACTGTGTCATAAGGGGAAAATTGTTAATAGATTGGCCTAATTAGCTGTAATTGTCAACTTAAACAGCTTAAAGTCACCTGAGAGTGGACTCTCAATTGAGTGATTGCTCGGATCAGATTAGCCTGTGTGGGATTGTCTTCATTGTTAATTGATGTAGGAGGGCCCAGCCTTCTGTGAATGGCACCCTTCCCTGGGCAGCTAGTGCTGGCTGTGTAAGAAAGCTGAACCTGGGTCATGAGCAAGCCATTGAGCAGCTTTCTTGTTCTGTGTCTGCAGTACTCCCGTGGCTGTAAATAAGTTCCTTGGTCAGAGTTAACCTGTGTGGAGTAGCAACCACACCTGCCTTCAGGTTCCGGCTTTGAGTGCCTACCTTGACTTTACTCAGTGATGCATACTGAGCTGGAAATGTCCTCTCAGTTGCTTTGGTCATTGTGTTTGTCACAGCAACAGAAAAATAAAAACTAGAACAGCCTTCTCCTGTGTATTGCACTGGGGGGTTGCCCTAATGTAGCGCTGTTAATACCACTTCACACAGCAGCCCGCCACCTTGAGTGCTTTCATTTTGCTGTTATTACTAGAACAGACATTTAACACAGAGAGGAGAATAGTACGTCACACACAGAAAAGGAAACCATTTGCCACCATAGAGGTGGTTCTTGGCTTGATTTATCTGATGGGAAATTTGGACATAGTTACTGTTCTCAACTCTTTTCTGTCATGTTTTTCTGGAAGAGGAAGTTAGGGAAGAGAGACTGTGGGAGGTGTTCATTGATGGTTTGAGCTCACGGGATGAGTTTTTGTGAAGGAAAGAATCAAGTTTGGAAAGTTGGTTTCTCTGCAGACAAGTCTGTAGGTATCTGGAGATACCAGGAAACCCCACTGGAGGTTGTTTCTGCTCCAAACGTGTGCGTGTGTGTGTGTGTGTGTGTGTGTGTGTGTGTGTGTGTGTGTGTGTTGTGGCAATATGCAAATGGATGCATTGTCTGTGGAGTCACCTGGACCTGGAGTTAGGAAGTTGTGAGCCACCAGCAAACTGACCTCAAGTGCCCTGGCAAAGCACTGTGCACTCTTAACCGCTGAGCTGTGTGCAGTCCCCACTGTTTTCTTTCTGTTCACCCCAGTGAAGCAACAGCTTAGTTATTCCGGGCTTTAATAATCATGGTGGAACTCGTGTACCCACTACCCTGCTTGCTCTCCTGTGGACACCTATTTGTGTATTGATTGACTGGAAATCAAAGAGTACCAATGCCGTATTCTATGGTGTCAAGTTTTTCTCTTGCCGCTGTAGTAAGAGTGGAATGAAAGAATAAGAATTCTGCTGTACTACAGGAGGAATGGGGTTAAAAACACAGCATGTCACCATTCTGGAGGTTACAAGTCTGAACTCAGTGTCAGAAGGTGGTAGCTGCAGCTCGGGGGTGAGTGTGCAGCCCGAGATGGGTGTCAGATGACTAGGCCAATAGTTTGATAGTGCAAAACCTAAGGAAGATAAGCAGCCTGGCTGCCCTTTTGTTTGTTTGTTTTTATTTTGTTTTTCTAGACAGTTTCTCGCTGTAGCCCTGGCTGTCCTGGACTCACTCTGCAGAGCAGGCTGGCCACAGCCCCTGCCCCTACCTCCCTGGGGTGGAGGGTGGGCCACCACAGTCCAGCTTGTTTGCTTCCCCAGCTTAAATCTGAATCCATGCAATACTCAGTGGCAGGCCATGCGCTGCTGAGCCAGCTTCACACTGGAGTCTTAGGAGGCTGAAACTGTCATTACACCCTCCCGAAGGAAAGGGGAGCTGAGACAAGAGAAGCCACGTAACAATCTACTCGGTGATATGGAGAAATAGTGTGCCACTCCTCCCCCGAAAAACCCTCAGAAACCAAACCGATTTCAAGATTCATGATGAATGTGCATTGTAGGAACAGTTGTCGGGAACTATGTCTAATGTAGATGGAATTGGTTTTTTTGCTGTGATAAAATGCTCTGACAAAAGTCAATTTGGGATGAAAAGGTGTTTATTTCAACCTACAATTCCAGATTACAGTACATCATAACAGAACTCACAGTGGCAGAAGCTGGAAGCACCTCGCTACACTGTACCCACGGTGAAGGGCAGAGAGAAATAATGTATAGTTTTCTTTACTTGTGTGTTTGCTGCTCTCATTCAGCTCAGGACCCATGCCCAGGGAGGCTGCCCTTTCTCCCTGTGGGGTGGTTCTTTCCATGTCAATAAACAGTCAAGGCAGCCCCCTTTAGACATGCCATGTACCAACCTGATCCAGACAGTTTTCTGGTTTGGACTCTTTTTAGGTGATTCTAATATGCGTTAGGTTGACAGTTAAAAACTAACCACCACAGTAACCTATTCA